TATTCCACGTTTGATTATAGTTCGGCTAATCTTCATATAAGATAGCTATAACAAGAATAAACGTTCCTTATTTTGGATTAACACTAACTGGTGGAACTTAAGTCTACACAGAACATGTAGTGATACTTTACCAGTCTGTGATCATTGATAAACTCATAAACTACACACATACTAGTTTGTACTTCAACCCATATTCACAAATGAACATTTTTTTTTTAAATTATCAATTAAGAGTCCAAGACAATACATTCATATACCTTTGTATCTTTACACTGTGAGCATGAAATAAGGATTATGTTCTTGGCAACACCGGCGCGGAATGGGTAGTTTGCAGCCTTCAAAAGTGCTTTGAATGTATCGTTGTTACCGCCCTCACCGAACTCCAAACCTTCAATTCCAAGCTGAAGCTTGCGCTGATGGTTAAATATCTGATGATCAATCGTGTGCATGTGTGGAAGATCATGTATCCCTGGGCCACCAAAGCCGACAAGTCCAAATCGGTTCTCCTTTAATCCTATAAAAGGAATCACAAACATTTTATAGCTTGTATATTTTAGTACTGAACAGCCTTTTTTATTTATTCTTTATTTCGTAAACAGAGTACATATAAAATATAACTAAAGACAAATACATAATATCGAAATACTGTACTGTACAATGAATAAAATTACTAAGAATAAAAAAAAACCAAGAAGCTCATGGACACACCAGCTGGTTCAGAACTAAACTAAAACTCCAAGAATATATTCCCATTTTGCATGCATTGCTGAGCCATGAAATGCAGTAATCATAATGCACATAATAAAACAATTAGTAGAACTGTGAAGCCTATGCCAAAAGCCATATGTGAATTTTCTGAGGTTTTCAATAAAGGATAATAAACCATAGTTAACAAACATGGTTGAGGCACTTTTGTGGCGTGGTAATTTAAGTATCATACGTATGTTCTTTGATCTCAATATCCATATAAAGTAGGCCAATATGCACCTCACCTAGGCTTAATAGTAAAATCAATGCAGATTCATGTATAATGTATTGTCATACGGCAAGACATTTGAAATACATTTATTTACAAAAAACAAAAGACATTGACAATT